CATATTTATGACAACTTGAAACCAACTTATCACACTTGTGATAAAATATATTTATGACAACATGCCCCTCTTATCACGACAACTTGCCCCGATGATGGGGCAAGTTGTCATACCATGGAGCCTTCTTTATGTTATACTCAAATGGTCTGAAGCTTTTCAAAGTTGTTTTTTAAATAACTATCATGATAAACTACCATATAAAATATTTTTTATGAAAATTGACCAATTAGTTTTTGAAATATCTGGAAAAGTATAAAAAGCATGAAACAAAACATGCCACACTCTTCCTTACATATATATATATATATATATATATATATATATATATATATATATATATATATATATATATATATATATATATATATATATATATATATATATATATATATATATATATATATATATATTACCAGTCATTAAAACACATAATCTTTTTACCTAAATAATACTTGCATTGCAGGAAAAAAAGCACGAAAATGGTTGTATTGATTTATCTCAGACCAAGGTGCCTCATCTCCATTATCCAATGATATTAATGCAAACATCTATAGAAAAATAAATAAATTAAAAAAAACAACTTAGTTATATTAATATTTTATAAACTCAAAGACATTATAAACTGGGATGAGTACAAAATCCCTTATTGACTATTTCATCAGTATTTTAGACAGCTATATTAGACAGCATATTTAACAGGTTCTTACATATTGACATATATTAGCTGCAAATAAAGTCACCCTAAGACAACAAATAATTTAATATCAATTGCTAAGTCTTAAAGGGTTAAAAATTTATATTTTAAAAAACTAAAAAAAAAACATTTTTAAAACATCACAAGTTAAATGCTGCCTTTTTTTCTTTTTCTTATAAATAATCTATGGTCATCTATACAAAGCACATTAAATATGTACTTAAGTAATAAAATCTCCTTGGCTGTCTACAGCCAAAAATGTGAAACTGGAAAAATAGCTTTAGATATAGCACTTTAGTATGAGGGAAATAAGATATAATTGATATTCATGAAATTTAACAAAACAAGATTTTTATGAATAGCTCCATAAAAAAATATACATAAAAAAAAAAGTAAAACTAATTAATTACCTGCATTCCAATAATAGCATAAATAAAAAATAACAGAAAAATTAGCATAGCAACATAAGGTAAAGCCTAAAATAAAATTAAAAAAATATTTATTATAAATGCGTCAACAAAAATTATTAAGTATAAGTTTCACATGATTAAGTTAATAATAACATTACACATTTAAAGTCACAAAAAATTAATAATTTTACGGGTTTGAAGTCATAAAAAATGAGAGTGTCATGTATTTAAAATCATTGAGATTTTTAAATATTATGATTGTATTATGTGTGATTGTATTATCAGTTTCATATTTTAGTAAAACTAATATCACTTAATCAAAAATACCCTAACATTTATTCTAACTAAACAAAAACAGCCTTACACACCCTAATTAATCAAAAAAATTTTATGAAACAGTCAGTTTTAGTAGCGACACCTGGTTATAACTATAATTACAACTATACTTATAAAATTTTGGTTTTTAATTTTGTTTAAAAATGTAAAGATTAGTTTAAGTACTTTAAAAGATTGCAAAAATGTCCATAATAAAATACGAATGGTGTATCCTCTCCGTAATAACTTTATGAGTCGAGCAGCACGAAATAATCTGAATAAACTTGGATCAAATGGTATGTCTGGTCCGCTCTAAAAAATTGCAAAACTATCATTAAATATCAAAAGTTTGTTTAATGATAATTTTATAAAAAATTGTATAAAAAAGTTTTTCATTAGCATACCAATTTTAAAAAAAGAAAATCTAAAACGCTTCCTAAAACAATGATAAAATCAAAGACATTCCATCCATCCCGAAAGTAATTCTAAAAAACAATGATAAAATCAAAAACATTCTATCCATCTCAAAGAATATCTAAAAAAAAATTTTAACTTTTAAAAAAAATGGTTAATCTTTAATTCATAGTAACCCTCTTATCTTTTGTTACATTTTTAACCCATACTCTTTTATTTTAAATAAAATACATTTAAATAAATAAACCTTAATTTTAAATAAATAAACCTTATTCTTTTATTTTAAATAATTTTAAATAATCTTTTAACAATTAACCTTATATACTATTTTAATAATTAGCCTTACTTACTCTTTAATAATTAACCTCACATACTCTTTTGATAACTAACCTCACATACTCTTTTAATAATTAACCTTACTCTTTTAATTTAAAATACATAATTTAAGTAAAATTTGCAAAATTTACACTTGGTAAAATTTACACATTAAAGTTAAAACACTTTATAAGTAGTTGAACTTTAATTACTTACTTACTTTTTACTAATTTAATACTTACACATACTTTACTTCATTTACTTTTTACTAATTACACATATTTTGGAATGTCACCTTTTTAATAAGAAATAGACTTTCAAATTTTGCTACCTAATACACGCAAGTCATTCTTTAGAACTTTACTTTAGTTAACCAAATCCTTTAAAAAACTGAATTAATTAATTTTAAGATCATTGTTAATCATTTATAATTTTGTTTCAAATATATAAAACTATACTATAATATATATGTTATAATATATAAAACTATACTATATATATATGTTATACTATAAAAACTTACTTGTCTGAGTGCAAATATTTTGAGAAAAAACTCAGCAGTAAACAAAAATGTGAAAACAATATTGACCACTTCTAAAAAAGCACTATACGATTTTGGTTGTTCGTGAAACTAAAATAAAAAAAGTTTACTAAATGTTATAAAAAAAGAGAAATTCTTGTTACAAAGCACCGCAAAGAAGTGCAATTAGTTAATATATAATTAAAAAATTACTAATACATTCATCTTATTATAAGTGCAATAAAAAATTAAATGAACACATAATCAAAAAAATGTAAAAAAAAAAAAAAAAAATTAAGCAAAACAGATAATACAAAATATTTTACAACAATTATTTTTGTAAATAAAGACTCCATTAGTCACATGCTTGGCCTGGGCATTTGCACTTGAAAGAATTTACCAATTTGTAGGGAAACTAGGTTTGAATCCACAGACTATTCTTTTATATGCTTTTGTTTAGCACCACTTCACTCTATTGCCTTTCTCTTTTGTTCTATAACCCTCTCCTTTATCTCAAGACTGCACTCTTTTAGATTTTATTTCTGATCAAATTGACCATGCCCTTTCTCTTCACCCTTCAGCTAATACCATTGTTGTTGGTGACTTTAGTGCTTATCACACTGAATGGCTTGGCTCTAGTGTCAGTGACTCTGCAGGCGTTAAGACACATAAATTTTGCCTTTCTCAATCTCTAACACAAATAGTCAAGTTTCCGACTCACTTTCCAGACAATCGGAATCATTTAACTTCTCAACTAAATTTATATCTTGTTTCTGATCCTAATCAGCACTCAGTTTCTTTACATTCACCCTTAGGGGCCTCTGATAATGGTTTGATCTCTCTAAAACTATTATCTATATTCTTTTCTATCATCAGAATACCCTCTATCATTATATCTCTTACAGCTACCTTAAAGCTGACTTAGACTCATGATTTTCTTCGTGATGACCCTAGGGAAGAAATCTTTCATCTTCCTGCTTAAAAATGTGCTATTTGCGTATTTTTTTGGATTCAGGCTAGCATGGAATCTTTTATTCCCTCTTAAAAATTCCAAGTCAAGCCTCACTCTTCTCCATGATTTTTCTCACATTGTGCCGTTGCAATTTCCAATTGTAACCAATACTATCATATCTATCAGCAAAACAATTCTCTAGAAAACAAATGTCTGTTTCCTATAGATAAAAACCATTGCAAAAAGGTTTTGTTTAATGCCAAAACCTGCATTTCTCAGCTCACGAAATCTCATATCATCTTTAAAATTAAGATCCAGAGGCTATTTGAGAATCTTTAACAGTGTCTGTAATAAGGGCAAATCTGTGATTCCACCTCTCTTGAATAGTTCAGATTTTGTTATCTCAAAAAAAAGCTGGATTATTTACGAAGAACTTTTCATCAATCTAATCTCTTGAATCCACTAATTACATCCTACCTAATATAGCCAACAAACAGGTTGATCCATTATTTGACATCTAAAATGATTTCCTACTTAGACTATTCTACAGCTTGTGGTCTGGACAACATATCTGTTATAGTCTTGCAGCAATGTTCATCTATACTTTCAACAAGTGCTTTCAGAATCTTGTTTTTCAGCCTGCTGGAAGGCTGCATCAGTTATCCCTATTTTCAAAAATTATGGAGAGCAATCTGACTCATCTAAATACTGTCCCATTAGTCTTCTTCCTACAATAAGCAAGATTTTTGAGTCTTTATTTAACAAACACTAAACTTTTCATCTTGAATATAATAACTTTCTGATCATGATTCGTTAAAAGTTATAACTAATAGGTTTTATTGTGTATTAGATAGATGTAGAAAAGTTAAGGCTCTTGACATTTCTAAAGTCTTTGATAAAATTTAGCATTCTGGTCTTCTTCATAGGCTCTCTTTTTACTATGTATCAGGTAACATCTTTAAGATTATTAAAACCTTCCTTTCCAATTATAGTATAAAAGTTGTCCTTGATAGACAGCACTCATATTCAGTAACTTCAAAGATTCCTCAAGGTTTTATCCTTGGCCCTATTCTCTTTTTAAATTACATTAACAGTCTTTTGTTATATTCTCACATCTAAGGTGGCATTGCTTGCTGAAATGAATTACCGTTTAATCTTGTCTTTATGAGAAGCCAACACTCTCTAATTGCTTAAAGGGGTATTTGAGTTTGAAAAGGATCTCACTTCTGCTACAATATGGGGCTCACAGTGGCTGGTGAACTTTAATTCAGATAAAATCCAACTTTTTTCAGCCAATTGTTAATATAATAATCTAGATTTTCCTATATTTATGAACGGTAATGTATTCAACAAGCCATCTACCTTTTGTCTTCTCTTACTTCCGATCTTTCATGGAAACCTTATATCAAATCCATTGAAAAATTAGCATCTCCTAAGGTTGCATCTTTTTATCATGCTCACCACTTTCTTAATTTAGATTTTATTCTTTATCTCTATAAATCTCAAATCGGTCCTTTTATGGAATTATTTGTCTAGTTTTTTTTTCCTTGAACATCAGTTCTTTGGAATTCACACCCTTTATCTTATTTTCCTGATTCATATAATTTGCAATCTTTTAAGTTGTCTAAACTTAATATAAACTTCATCTTTTCTTTTCCAGAAACTTCCATCTCTAATAGTGGTTGCTTACAGTCTTGTTGGAAGTGAAGATGTTGAAAAATAAAAAATAAAAAAAGGAAGATAACCATCAACTCTAAGGTCAGAAGATGAGACAGTTCAACTCAAGTTAGTCTCAAAAAGATCAAGTAAGTCTAGTAAACCTTGCAAGAGATATGACTCAACAGAAGAAAATTTACTTTGAATACCACGAATATTAGTAAATGATAGATTTAGAGAGCTTGGTGATGACGATGGTTTTTTGTATTTTATAGTTTTTGGTTCTTTAGTCATTTTGTTTTGTTAATGAACTTAACTAAAAGCACAAATAGTACTCAGTACACTGTTGAACAGTCCAAGCAATTGTCTCATTACTATTAATAAATACAAAGCCGTAACAATAGGCTCCAAATGTGGCCTTAACAATGCACACCAAAAATATGATCAGGGACACCGCCCATGCAAAACATGGCACTGTTAGTATTCTGATACTTTACAGTTGTTGATTGAATCAATTCTCTGAGAGCTACCACAGAGTTTGGGAAACCTGACAACCAGCCAGCCCCAGAATGATAAAAAATAGTTTTATTGCTGTACCCTCATTAGGAGATAACTTAATAAGTTGCTTAATCATAAAAACAGAGACACAAGCAAAACGGGTTCTGCTTGTGTCTCTGTTTTTATGAGTTAAGAAGATCCAACATTAAACATCATAAGCTAGAAACAATGTATTATAAATACATTTACGCCAGCTTAATAGATGAAGAACGGGTGTAAAGCTGGTCAACAGATAGAATCTATTTACCCCTTCAATTGTATTATATGTATGTATCCCAGCTAGCACACTTACATTGGGCCAATATATGTAAAACTTAATTTTAGCACAAAGAAAAAGAGAATATTTGGCTTTAAAACTAATAATGTTCATGTTTATGTGAATATGTCAAATGTTTTGGGCCAATGTATCATAAACGTCGGCTCTTTTTTCCAATGCAAAACCAATGTTGATCCAATGTCATTTGGTTACTGATAAAATTATTATTGATGGAACTAAAAACATCTGTATGTAAAAACATCCAAAAAATTTGATTGTTTTTACGATCTAAACTCAACATTGATCCAATGTATATATTTTGAAGTTGATTCAATGTATATAAATCAATGTTGATCCAATGTATGTAAATACATCAGAAAAAGTTGATTGTTTTTACGAACTAAACCCAACGTTAATCGAATGTGTGCGACCAAACATTGCGATTGCAAAATTATATAACTTAAATGAAATCTTCCATGATTATTAAAGTATCAAACCACAATCAACACAAACATGATTTTTGTTTTGATGATCAAGCGTTGTCAACCTTATAAATATTTAATAACTCTCTCATCTTCTCTATAACTAATGATTTCCCCCCGTCCTCGCTTAGTACATTAAATATAGAAAGGTCCTTTAGTGGTCCGTACTTATATATATAATATATATATATATATATATATATATATATATATATATATATATATATATATATATATATATATATATATATATATATATATTTATATATATATATATATATATATATATATATATATATATATATATATATATATATATATATATATATATATATATATATAAATATATATAAAGAAAATAGAATTCAATGAAATTTAGTTCTGAATAATATTGAATACAACATTTTGCTAATTAATGTTCAACGTTGAATTAACGTAAATACCATGTTGTACCAACTTGAAATACAACATAGAAACAACGTAAAAAGCAACGTTGTGCCAATGTATAAAATAAAATGTTGTAACAACGTTTTTAGTTGTTGGCGACATCGCATTTTTAACCATAATGATATAAAAACAACGTTGGCAGCCGATGTTGGGCCAACAAAACGCGCAACCTTGTTCTAATGTTTTAACAACGTATGTGTGCTAGCTGGGATGTATGTATGTATGTATGTATGTGTATGTATGTATGTATGTATGTATGTATGTATGTATGTATGTATGTATGTATGTATGTATGTATGTATGTATGTATGTATGTATGTATGTATGTATGTATGTGTGTATGTATGTATGTATGTATGTATGTATGTGTGTAGTTATTAGTTGTTTTTTTTTTATATTGATGAACTTTGTGGTGTATAAAAAAATAAATACCTTGAGCATAAGTATGAAAGTATTTCCACATATAAGCAGCATTATAAAGTATTCAAATGGTACAGAATCAACAAAAAGCCACAGTTTGTATTGCAAACTATTGGGATTTTCAGGCATAAATCGTTCTCCTGGTTTAGACTCCATTGCAATTTGCAAGCATCCCCGCTAAATATATTGAATTTATATAAAAATTATTTCTTTAATATACAAAATTAAAAAAACTAAAAACCTGTTTTACCTGATTTCTATCAAGTTCACAATCACCTTCTTCAGATTCCCCTTGTTCTTGAAAGGTCAAGATGATGAGTGCAACAAAAATATTTAAAAAGAAAAATGTAAAAACAACAACAAAGGAAACAAAAAACAATGAAACTTGAATCTGATTATTCAACAATGGTCCTTTATCATAACCAGTGCTGTCAATTGCAGTAAACATCACACTAAAGTAAAATTAATATTTCAAATACAAATTAATGTTTAAAAATCATAAATAATATAAATCTCTTGAAAACTTATTTTATTTACAAACCTTTCAAAAACTTTTAACACTAATTGATTTATTTTTAAGGTTTCAGTAATATATAATATATCTATAACATAGCAATTTCTGTCTTCCTGTTTAGTTAAAACTTATATTAACTTTATCTTGAAATCAATTTTTATTGATATTTTTTATAATGAAAAAACATTTAAACAATTAACTTATACAATTATTTTTAGAGGATAAATAAAACCATAAATTGTTATATAGATAAAAAAGATATTTTCTCTTATAGATATGTGGAAAGTATTTTTTGAAAGTCTGAACAATAGATATCCAACTCGTTTTTTAAAAATCTACGTCTTGAATACAGTCTCTGCGGGGCCAAGGCATTTTGAGAGGCCAGCCAGCAAAAAAACCTTGACAAGATTATTCATATAGTACTATTGCAACCAAACCTCAGTCTGTTTCAATAGTTTCAAAAAATTTCAAAAAAAATGGTTTCAAAAAATTATTTTATAATTCATGTTTTACTGAAATCTTTGAATCACTGTAATCTGCATATTTTGTTTGAGAATCATACTTTGATAAAAACCATAAGTTGCACACTTTATATCAGTAAATTTCACCAGTTTCTCATTCATTTTAAATGTATTCATGTAAACATTTTTTGAATTTAATTGTACAGAAAGTATAATGGATTGATTCCATGTGATAAACATTTTATTGAGTTTAAAGATTTCTCTGAATGGCTGGCTTTCTTTTATTACTTTTTTTTTTCAAATCTAACAAAATATTTTCTATCTTCAGATTAATCTCTGTACTTTTTGACAGGTTTTTAAAGCGGATGTTGATCTAGATGTTGTAAAGTTTTAAAGCGGATGTTGATCTATTAATCGGATGTACATGTGTTGATCGGATGTACATGTGTTGATCGGATGTACATGTGTTGATCGGATGTACATCTGTTGATCGGATGTACATCTGTTGATTGGATGTACATCTGTTGATCGGATGTACATCTATTGATCAGATGTACATCTGTTGATCGGATTATACATCTGTTGATCGGATGTACATCTGTTGATTGGATCGTACATCTGTTGATCGGATGTACATCTGTTGATCGGACATCTGTTGATTAAATCTCCTCGAAAACAACAAGTTTTGCTACATTGTTGAACTTTTTAAATTGTGATTCATTACTTAGATCTAAGGAGTTTCTTGATTGAGTTTCTCTTCCTTGACCTTTATCAAGAGCTAAACTATATTTCTTTGCCAGATTGCAGACTCTGCTGCATATTCCAGAAAGGGTTAAGCAAAAGCTTTTTACAATTTTTTTAGCAATTGATTTAGTGTAAAATTCAAATGTGTGTATAATTAAACCTAACATTTTATTAACAAATTAATGAATTGAAAATTCAAGAGTACTAAATATATCGGTCCAAACAAACTGGAAATGATATTAAACAGCAGTAAATGAAGTTCAATCAATCTAGAGGTGTTTTTAAACATCAACAAATATGTTAGTCATATTAATCGACTGATAAACAAATATTATGTATCCAAGTAATATTAATAATTAGACCGTTTCAAAACGTTAAACATTGATGTTAAAAAAATGTGAAAAGCAAAACTAAATTTGAAATTCAACTTAAATAAAGAAGAATTATAAAACTTTTTATTCTGATTTAATTTTAGCACAAAGAAAAAGAGAATATTTGGCTTTAAAACTAATAATGTTCATGTTTATGTGAATATGTCAAATGTTTTGCAAAAAATTATGGTGATTGGAGCAAAGAAATTAAAATGCCCAAAAAGTTTACACCCCTACCCTAAATGAGTTTATTTTTTTTTTTACTATCTAATACTAAATTTAAAAACACAGAAGTCATTTTAGGCATTCTTGCATTCTAATTAAAGAAAAAAATAATCTTTTTGTATGGTTTTACTCTTCAGATAGAAATTACAATAAAAAATACTCCATAGACTTAAGTAAGGCTTAACAAAATATATTTTCACTTTAAAAAGCAGTGGTAAATTTATTAATGCTGAATTAATTAAATTCAACATACATCAGCTATTATTTAAATGAATAGAAAATTTATTTTGTTTAATAAACAGAACTTATATTTACTTATTTGTCAATCTTGTTTGAAAAAAAATTAAACTTAAGAAACATGATCATTTATAAAAACATTTTATTGCAATATAATAGTTCAAAATATGTTTTTAAAGTAACTTCTAATGAATCTTACTAAAATTTGTCCAAATAAACAAAACTTAAAATCAACAAGTTAATGAATCAATTTTTTGATGATTTATCATCTCTGGATAGCATAAATATAGGTCACGTGTGGCCATGGTATTTATACCACTTATGAGGTAACCACATATCACCTATATGTGGTATACTTATTCCACCTGATTATTATAAATACCATAACTTTATATGGACCACATCAACCTCATCTTATAAATCAAGTGTGACTATCACATGTAGCATATGTTAAATTTTCTTGACAGGTATTGTTACCATATCTGAATTGGATAATCTAGGCATAATCAATAGATTATCACTAGGCTGGAAACTGATTATTTACTTGTTACAATGTTTTTGATTTGTTTGGGATGTTTGAAGCAATCAATCAATACGGCTGTAGAGCATTAAACAAATTTGTTATAATTAACCCAGAAATAATGGTAATTATTTTAGGCAAATAATTAAGGTTTACAGCAACAATCTTACTGTCCAACAAAATTAAAGTTAAACAGCTGATAATTGTTATTAGACTCAATCTCACTCCTCAAGCTGATAACTTGAGATGCAATAGATGCATATTTTTTTTTTTTGATGCATCTTTTTAATTTATGCATTATTTTTTTAATTTATTATTCATGTTTATAAAAATAAAATATTTATTCACATATTTGAAAACTAATTTTAATTAAATAAAAATTTACGTTGGCCAACCCTCGCCAGTAGAAGATGTAAACAATGTTATTAAAGCTTCAAAAACATTATTAAAATTAAAATCACTGTTCATCCAATCACGCTTTTCATTCTAAAACAAGAAAATGTATTTTTTTTTTCAAACTATGGTACTTTCAAACATTAAATAAAACTTTAAAAAAATTTTTTACCTTTGGTTCATTGAATTTATTATCTTTAAAATCAATATATTGACCCCTAAAATACAAAAACACTCATTGAATACACTCATTCACGATTAATTGAAGTTATTATCTTTAAAATTAATATATTGCCCCCTAAAATACAAAATCACTGAGTACTTGATAAAAATCTCAGTACATTCATTAGGTAGTGACAACTGAAAGTTGACACTGATGGCATCTAAAATAGGGAAAAGCAAAAATAATTATACAAGTATGAGGGGTTTGGCTTGGAACAGGTAATATACAAGTATGAGAGGTTTGGCTTGGAACAGGTAATATCATACAAAAAAAGTAAATAAACTAGATACAAAAATTTAGGAATATTTATTCTTTAATATAATTCAAATCAAACAACAAAAAACTCTTTCTTTTTAAACTATCAACAGCTTTATTATAAATACTAAAAGGACATTTTACATTTCATTTAATTTACAATTATTTTATCCTAGTTGATCTTTATTTAATATGTAAAATTAATGCCAGTTGTAAAACTACACATATAAAAAATATAAAAAACAAAACTAAAACACAAACTAATGTTGAAATTAAAAAAATATATATTTATGCATTTAAAGAAAAAATTAAAAAAAAAAACAGAAATCAAAAAGTCAGAAAAAATCAAATTGTAATATTAATAGTCAACAAAACACTTTATACTTTCAAGAAAACACTTTCAAAAAAACACTTTCTTATTACAATATGAAAAAACGCAGATCACTTATGAATCAAAGTTTGTACTAAAAGAAAATTTTTTACTTTACTACCAAAGATTTATCTCACAACATTTAGAAACATGAACACTGCCTCAGTCTTTATATTCTAAGCAATACTTACCAAACATCACATAGTGGAGGTTCATTTTTGAAAGTTAAAAATCTACACTCATCATGCTTGAAGAGAGAGAAACCAGGCTAAGAGGTCCTATGCAAAATATTAAACTAATATGTCCACAAAAAAAAAAGGGCATCAAATGTTTTTTGATTTTTGATTTCAATAAAGTTCTAAAAAATCAGTAGAAAGTTCTAATGTTAACATTATTTGTTGAATTCAAAGCCAAATCAGTAAATATCTATATTATTGTTAAGAAGTTACAATGAAGTTAATTCCACAACAGCAAATATCCACAAAAACCATTATGTATCAAAAACCATAATCATGTATCAAAACATCAAAAATCTTATTGCAATATAATAGTTAAAAACATGTTTTTTTAAAAGTGACTTCTAATGAATCTCACTAAAGTCCATAGTTAAAAATATGTTTGCTTTTAAAGTAACTTCTAATGAATCTTACCAAAATTTGCTAAAATTACTTGCTTTTAACAAAACTTAAAATCAACAAGTTAATGAATCAACTTGTTGATGTGTTATCATCTCTGGATAGCATAAATATAGGTCATGTGTGGTTATGGTATTTATACTACTTATGTGATAGCCATATATGACATATATGTGGCCATAATACTCCACATGAGTATTAAAAACACCATAACTATACATAATCCACAGCAAACTCATTTCATAAATCAAGTGTGGCTAACACATGTGGCGCACATTAAATTTTCTTGTTGGGTATTATTACCATATCTAGATTGGCTAATCAAGTGATTATCTATGCTAGAGACTATTTTCTTTTTATGATCTTTTTCATTTGTTTGGGGTGTTTTAAGCAGTCTGGGGTTTGTATTCTCATCTTTCTGTTAAGTTAAACGGAGTGTTAGTCAAAAGATTTTTTAACTATATTTATAAAAAAATTTGTTAAGAATATAATTTTTTAAACATAAATATTTTATTTAGTATTAGTTTTACTTAAATAAATTTAAATAAAGCAAGTTAAGCTTAATATAGAGAAGTGAACATGAATGCAGAGCATTAAACAAATTTATTATAATTAACCAAAAATTAAAGTTAATGAGTAATTATTTTGAGCAAATAATTAAGGCTTAAAGCAACAACCTTACTTCCCAACAAAATTAAAGTTAAACAACTCATAATCATTATTAGACTCAATCTAACTCCTCAAGCTGATAACTTAGCACATCGTACTGTAAAAGCTAATTTTACACTTGAAATAAAAAAAAGTGTTAAACGTCAAATGTTTGTTGCACTTTTTCACCAAAATTTTTTATTTCACTTATGTTCTAAAAAATGAGTAGAAAACTCTGATGTCCACATTATCTGTTAAATTCAAAGCAAACACTGTTGTTGAGAAGTTACAAAGCTACAACAGAGAATATCCATACTGTTGTTGAAAAGTTACAAATCCACAATAGCAAACACCCACACTGTTGTTGAAAAATTAGAAAGTCAGCAAATAACCAAACTGTGGTTTATTATATATTATAATTATATATTTTTATAGTAAAATAATAGTGAACTATTATTTATGTTAATTAACCTAACATAGTAAAGATCTAAAACAAAACAAAAAAATTAAAAAAGTTCTATAAAATAATCAAAATACTAACTGGCAAGATTCTTCAAGATTTTTGGATATGTCTGTACAGTAATAAAACTTTCCCTAAATTCCATTTAAATAGTTTAAACATTATATACTAAAATATTAAAATAAATTCCATTTAAATATTTAATACAATAAAATAAATTTTATAAATTTATAAAACTTCATTTACGAAAAACTCAGATTTCAAATTATAACTTTAAATACATATTCTTTAAAACTTACTGAAAATAGTTGAACACCCATTACTGCAAAAATAAAAAGAAACTGGAATGTAATCAGCAGTATATTGATAACATTTTTCAGGGAATATAGCATGCAATGAAAAACTGCCTAGAAAAAATTATTGTTAAAACTTTTCAGGAGTCATATGATTTAAAAAATACTGACCTAAAACAAAATATACTAATAAAATATTTGAGAAAATAAAGTATGCAATAGATCACTACCTAATAATAAAACATATTGTACACAAATGCAAATGCTTTTAAAAAATTATTTGAAAACACAATTGATTTGATTTGTTTTATGCATTTATTGAAGAAAGGTTTTATAGATTTATTGAAGATATCAGTAAGCTATGAAGATTTATTAAAGGTATCAGTAACTATGAAGATTTGTTGGAGATATCAGTAAACTATGAAGATTTAAAAGAGTTATCAGTAAACTATAAAGGTTTTGTATGAAGATTAAGCGCTTAAGGTTTATAAATATTCCCCCATTAATTTGTTCTGAACGAATGAACATTGAAGTATAACTTATGAGAAACACTTGTGAAAAAGGGTTTCAATTGTGTTGAACTCCTTTTTCACAAGTGAGAAAGAGGAGATAACAAAAGAGGAGATAAGAAAAGATGCAATTTTTGTAAACTTTATGCTATTCACAATTCCAAGGCCAAGAGGACCACTACAGTGGAGGAGCCCTATTTATTGTGGTTACAACCCTCTCTCAACTCTTTAACACAAACTTTGACAAACCAGAGACGTGGTGGGGATCGAACTTTGAATTACTAGCTTATGATGCAAGCACTTTACCACTACGCCACTACCACATTACAGCTTAAGTAGGTTATGCATTACTGAGCTTTTCAATGATTTTCAGAAAATGTTTCCATAATTAAAAGAACTAATTAAAATAAAAGATTAAAATTTTTTAACTAACTTTTCTTTGGTACCCTTCTTCTAAACTATAGATTTTCCTACAATCATTGACACCATTTGACAACTTATTCTTGTAAATAAATCACAAACTTTATTCCTATTTTTACTTCTCTAATTAAAACTAGATAAAAATCAAAATTAAAACTCCCACTAATTTTTAAAAACAAAAATAGTGAAGATATTTCTTGATTCCCATATGCACTTTCTAAGAAGGCACAATTATGATAAAATAGCAATCTTATATCATTGATTCTTATATCATTCGTTCTTA